GTGAAGTACACCAAGAGTTTCGCCAACAGCAAGCTACGTTGGAAGGCGGAGACGTGGTCACGCCTACCCACAGAGACAGTACATGGCAACGACAGCGTTCATCAAGGCGCTCAGGCAAGCAGTAGGCAAGACAGCCAGGCCGCCAGGCCGAGGCAAGCTCAAGAAAGAAGACCAACAACGGACAGAGAAGTCACGACATGGCGACGACGGGCGACCTCCACCTCTTACTGCGAATACGACGCTTGACGTTCATCAAGGTAATCACCCTTCAAGCGCCGCCGATCCTGCGACGAGTGCTGGATACCATGGCAAGCGCGACTGAGGAAGGAGGAAAGTTGGTGACTTTGATGCTAGCGGACCTGAACTGGCTAGGCGGAAAGACGAATGAAAGAGACGAACCGCAGCGAAGCCCCGCACGGTGGATAGTAGAGAAGAGTAGAAGATATACCACACCAGATGCAACAAGGCGTGGAACAAGTAGTTGGAGATCAATCAACAAGGACGGGTTCAAGCACGACGACTGGAAAAGAGACATCGACGCAAGGCAGGCCTCATGGCGAAGATTTCCGAGACGGAGACGGTGTACATCTGTCACCAGTGCAGCTTCATAACGGCGATCAAAGGAGCATGGAAAACACATCGAAAAGAGCACCTACCGCTGGATACAGCTCGGAGACATTCCCGAGACGGCAAGTGTCCAGCGCGCCAGAAGGATTTTCTGACCACACCCAGGCTGGCGACACGTCTGCGACAGGGTGATCCAGAGGTGCAAGAAGTGGCGTGCAAGCTACGACGAGCCCATGAGCTACGAGGAGACGAGGACCTTGTACAACAACGACGCGGGCACCGAGCCACCACAGCGATCATCCTGAACGTGAAGAGACATCTGATTTCGAGAAATAGGGGAGCGACACCGACGACGACAATGAGATCCCCATGATAGAACCCGCGCCCCCTGAATGGATATATGTGATAGCAGACCCAGACGCGGACAAGTACAATCCGAATGTGGTGTTGATAGCAGCGACGGGAAGCGGCGCCCTGGAGATCTGCAGGACGTGCTGGAGATACAGTTCAACAACGTGAGGGGCACCGAGGTGGATTGCAGCAGGATCGCAGCAGTCCAAATCAACCTGAATAGGGAGCCCGACAGCGAGCAGTGGAGCCGACATCGACGAGGATCTGGTCGTGGCGGTGATGGCCGAGCCCCCGAGGAGAACTTGGACCCAAGAGCAGCGTACAGGCCATCACATCCAGGGGCTCCGTCGACAACAACCCGAAGCAGCTGATGCAGATCGGGGCGGAGAGCGAAGCCGTGCGCGGCGCCTTGCTGCTGATTGCCCACGCCGCAGCCCGGCTGAAGCCCTCCCTGATGCTCCGCCCCTGGCGGCAGCCACCACCGCAGAGGTAAAGGAGTTTCGGCACCTGGTTGACCACCAGATGCTGGAGCTCAGGGAGAGTGAGCTGGCCTCCGAGGAGAGGGAGATCGCACGCCTGGCGGCCAACGCGCCAGGGGTAAGGAGACCTACTCAGCGTAAGGCCCGAAGGCCTTGCAGCACAGCCTTTAGTGAATACCTGGGATCGGTGCTTTGGAGGATCGGGTCCCTGGAGGGGTGACGGGCTCCCGCCCGACGTCTTGGAGGCCCTTGAACCCCTCGACCCCGACCCCACCACCCCACCCCAGGGAAGCAGATCGGGCCTCACGGAGGGCACGGCAATCCGCTTAGGCGAGAGCCGTGCGAGGCAAGGGATTGGATCGGTGGGCTTCCCTGCTCTTCCATCACTTTTTGGGGGTCGGGGGTAACTCGAACCTCCCCCCCCTCCTTCCTCACGAGAGCAATGCGATGTCGTCCTCTCTGTCTTCGTCCCTCGGCCGCACGAACTGCCTGCAAGTAGCCGACGCCCGCCTGCTGCCGACGCTCGCTGGCCATACAGCGGCCTCAGTCTTCCCTAACCGCTCGCCAGGAGGGTCCGCAGCGCTGGGAACAGAACAGGAAGAGGACGAGGAGGAGGAGGAGGAGGAGGAGGAGGAGGAGGAGGAGGTGGACTGAAATAGTCCTGCCGAGCAAGCAGGAGCAGCCTCTCGGACCGATCTCTTTCTCGCACAGAGCGCGCTGTGCTTTCCCGGCTCTGCCGCCCCCCGCTCAGCGCCACCTGAGGGGTACTCAGTAGACTCGCGCTCGGATCGAGGCCGGCGGGTGGCGCGCCTCCTGCCGCTTCCTGCGCCACCCCGCGCGAAAAGAACATTTTCTTGCCGCTTGCCTGCCCCTTTCCTGAACGCTGCCGAGGCATCCTCAGGTCGGGCATGTCCCCCTACAGGCGGGCTTTGGAGGAAAATTGATCCCCCCAAAGAAAACAGGAAATTCAAGAAATACTCAAAAAAACGTCCCCGGAATATGTTGGACTATTTTTGAATACTCCTCCTGTAGAGGGACGTGCCCGACTGAAAGGTACCCGTCTCGGTGGCACTGACCCGCTCCAGGAGGAGAGAGAGCCCCGCCTGCGAGCCGCTGCCACTGGCAATGCTGCCGAGCACCGCGGCGACCTCCAGATCCCCAGCCTTGGGGATCACCTCAGCGAGGATGTTTCTTCCGCGACAAACGACGATGACCTCATCGCCATGCACTGCAAATCACCACAACGGAACTGCGCCACAGCATGCGATGGACGGTTGCATGGTGGCCGCCAAATGGTCCATGGGGCCATGGGGATCACCTCAGCGAGGAGGGGGCCCAGCACGACCGACGACCGGAATGCGGAGGAGGCGAGCCAGGACGTGACAGCGAGAAGGACGACGACGACGACGATGACGACGCCGTCGACGTCGACGAGGACGACGAGGACGGCGCTGACAGCGGCGACGAGGACGGCGCTGACAGCGGCTGCGACAACGGCGACAACGACGACGACGCCGACAGGACGCCGGTGACGGCGGCGGCGACGACTGACGACGCCGACGCCGACGCCCACGACGACGACGACGCTGGCGACGATGACGCCGACGATGGCGGCAGTACAATGAGACATCCTGCCAGAAGACCTCCAGTGGCACATTCGTCAGAAGGTGCCCAGAAAATCCAGCGGGTCCAGCCTGTCGGGGGCATCCGCTGGCAGGCTGGCTTCTTGCTCGGTGTGCCTACTGTGGTGTGAACGGGGCGACCGTTGGGCAAGGCATCGGAGTCTGGCGGCAGATGGGTGGTCTGACGCGGGACACTCGTCTGCCATCGGCCTCGCCTTCGCTCCGAAAGAAGCGCGCGGGGGCCCGCGCTCCTGGCACAGCCACGGTCGACCAGACTTCGTCCTCGGAGCACCCGCGCGGGGTCCTCGGGGCATCCGCGCGACAAGCCCGCGCGAGCTTCACGAACCCACAGGCGGCCTTCAGAACAAGCATAATCTTACCACGACCACCACCACCGTTCTGAACTGAACGGATCACCGTGCGCTAGGCGGCGAATGGGCCACTCATGTCACAGGCAGATTACGCATGGTCTCACTACCACTGCCCACTCCCCGCCAAGTGGCAAGTCACTGCAATGCGTTTTCGCGACGGCCAATCGGTGAGACGGTCGCTCGAAGCTGATGGTGTCCTTCACCATCTTGACCGCTCACACACTTACTTACAACCCGCCCTGCAGCGCGATTTTGGAGAGCAAGGGAAAGCAGACACAGCACGATTACGAGGCCAGGAACGCAATCGTGAAGCCACTAATCTACCTAAAATGCTGTGCACATGAATGGATGTCACCTTGCTCGCTCAGACACATTTTCCGCTCTGGCTCTTGGAGCCACCCAGAGCCGCCACTCTACCAACCCACTGACCGATCATCCGACCTTCCCCACTTCTCTGGCCGGCCCAAAGACTATCGAGCCCATGCAGGACTCTGGCTTTACAATCCCCTCGAGCTTTCCACATTCGCCTCGGAAACAATCACGTTGTAGAATATGTGGGCGGCAAAATGAAAGCCGTGATGGCTTCTCATTACAACCAGCCTAGAGGAGGCATGTCATGCTTACTGCACGGAAGAGCACCTCTCTTGAAGCACTGGGACTCCAAAGTTTGCGCTGTGTGAAAACATGTTGCAAGTATTTGCATCGAGAAACGCGGAGGGGCCAGAAGCAATAGGATACAGCACTACGTCCAGGAACTTGTAAGAGGAGCTGAGATATCTCAAGCAGCAAGCTGTGTGAGGGCTGCCTGGTAGGCCACTCATATTGCCTGAGCTATCGGCCCGCTGCAGTGTCGCAAAAAATCAGACCCTCAACCTAGAACCTCCACGTCTCATACAGTCGATCCGTATCATAAGGATGCGCGATAAGGATGCAAGGGCCTCGAAGGCCCATTTCGAAGCTTCTCGAGCGGGTCGCGGCCAACGAAAGTGGCCAAGGATGGGCCGAGGAGGCAAGGATGCAAGAGTACCCTTGGGAAGGTTGCCCATCCTTACCGTGCGGGTCGACTGTACCTGAGCTGGTGCACTGCGCCACTTTCAGCAGAGCCGCAGAGCAAACATCTGAGCGGCAGCACACTACTCAACGCCTTCTTCACCTCCGCGTGGGCCAGGCTCGTGCCGGCTCTTCCGCCGCTGATCTGCAGCAGCTCCTCCGGGTCTACGCCCCCGTGCGCGCAGTGAGCTGCAACGTCCTCCAGGATCGTCTGCCCCCACGACGAATCCTCCGCGAGAGGAAGGATTCAAAAACGCGCACACTGGCAGGAAGCGAGCGCAGGGGCATAAGGGAAGAGGTGGCAGCAGACGGGAGAGGGCGATGCAGGAAGGCACGGGGCGACGATGACGCCGGGAGGCGGGGAAGCAAGAAGGAAGAGGAGGAAGAGCAACGGCAGCAACGATTCCAGCGACGGAGGAATGTCAGAGTAAAGGAGGTGCGCGGAAGGAACAGCCTCTGTAGCAGCATAATGAGCCCGAGGGCAGGCGCAGCAGCAGCAGCATCGAGACAATCTCCTCCTGCATGTCTCATCCCCCCTCTGTTTCCTCGAAAACCTTTAGGAAGAACGGGCCAGAGTCACATACATACGCTGCGACACATAATCTATAAAGAATGGCTAACGACGACGTGACATTGCGCAGGCGGACGGGAAGATGGGGTCAAGCGTGACCTTACCACTCCCGAGCCTCTCCTCCCCTCGGCTCCTTCATTCCTCCCGTTCTCTCCCCGCCTCTCTTTCCTTCTCTATTGCCCCTCCCATCCTCTTCTCCCCTCTAACCCTCCACATGAGCATGCATGCTGTGAACCTCTACTTCGCATGGGCAGAAGAATTACAACCACAGGCCGCTCGGATACTCCTCGTCCTCTCCCTTCTCCTCCTCATCCTCCTCTTCCTCGTCCTCCTCCGCCTCCTCCTCCTACTCCTCCTTCTCCTCGTCCTTTTCCCCGTCCTCATTCACCTCGTCGTCCTCCTCCGCCTCCTGCTCCTCCTCCTTCTCCTTCTCCTCCTCTTTTTCCTCCTCCTCCTCCTCATCTTCCTCCTCCTCCTCCTCCTCCTCCTCCTCCTCCTCCTCATCATCATCATCATCATCATCATCATCATCATCATCATCATCATCATCATCATCATCCTACTCCCTCCTCATCCTCCTCCTTCTCCCCCTCCTCATCCTCCTCCTCCTCCTCATCATCATCATCAGCAGCATTAGCATCATCATCATCATCATCATCATCATCATCATCATCATCATCATCATCATCATCATCATCATCATCATCATCATCATCATCATCATCATCATCATCATCATCATCATCATCATCATCATTATCGTCCTCCGCCTCCTCCTCCTCTTCCTCCTTCTCCCACTCCCACTCCCACTTCCACTCCCACTCCCACTCCCACTCCCACTCCTCCTCCGACAACGACTCCGACTCCTCCTCCTCGTCGTCGTCCTCCTCCTCCTCCTCCACCTCCTCCTCCCCCTCCTCAGACTCCTCCGACTCCTCCGACTCGATTTCACGGCGAGTAATATGACTCCTGCTCCTCCTCCTCCTCCTCCTCCTCCTCCTCATCATCATCATCATCATCATCATCATCATCATGCTCCTCCTGATCCTACTCCTCCTACTCCTCTTCCTCATCCTCATCATTATCCTCATCATCTCATCATCCTCCTCATCCTCCTCCCCCTCCTCCTCGTCTTAGCATTTGTATTATTCGGATTCGCAGTGCCAGTCTCAGCCTTATTCTTCGTATTAGTAGTATAAGTGATACTCTTCTTTTTCGTATTAGCATTCCTCTAAGTACTATTATCCATAGTGTTCGTCTTATAATGAATATTCGCATTCGTGGTACTGTTCTTATTCGTATTAGTATTAATAGTGTTAGTCTTATTCTTATGAAAGTATTAGTAATGTGCTGAATAGTATCCGTACTATTAATATTCGGAATAATTCCTTATGGATATTCTTAGTATCATTGCTGTTCATACCCGTAGTATTATTACTCATTAGCGATATTACTAGTGTCACAATCATCATCACAAGCATCATCCTCATCATCAGCAGCATCATTATCATGATCATGATCATCATCATAATCAGCATCATCGTCATCAACATCGTCATCATCAGCATCAGCATCATCATCAGCAGCATCACCATCAACAGCATCACCATCATCATCAGCATCATCAGCAGCATCGACTTCCTCATCATCGACATCAGCATCATCATCATCATCAACCTCAGCATCATCATCAACATCATCATCATCACCATCGCCATCACGGGCCTAGTCATCATCATCATCGTCATCATTATGATTAGCATCCTCATCATCAGTATCATCATCACCATCATCACCAGCAGCCTCATAATCAGCAGCAGCATCAGCAGCATTGTCATCACCACATCAGCATCATCAGCATCATCATCATCATAATCAGCATCATCAAAAGCAGCATCATCATCAGCATCAGCATCATCACGATCAACAGCAACAGCATCCACATCATTATCATCATCACCATCCTCATCAACATCATTATCATCATCAGCAGCATCAGCATCAACATCATCATCATCATAAACATCATGATCAACATCATCATCATCATCATCATCATCATCATCATCATCATCATCATCATCATCATCATCATCCGCAGCATCATCGTCATCATCAGCAGAATCATCATCTCCTTCATCAGCATCATTCATCCTCCCCCTTCTCTTCCTCCTCCTCTGACTCCTCCTCCTCTGACTCCGAATCCAACTCATGCGACTCCTCCGACTCCTCCGACTCAACCGTCTCCTCCGACTCCTCCTCCTCCTCCTGCTCTTCCTCCTCCTTCCCCTCCTCCAACTCATCCTTCTTCTTCTTCTTCCCCTCCTCCTCCTCCTCCTCCTCCTCCTCGTTCTCCAACTCCTTCTCAGAATCCTCCTCCTCCTCCTCATCATCATCATCATCAGCAGCAGCCTCGTGTTATTCCTCTTCGTCTTCTCCATCATCAGCATCATCATCAGCATCATCATCATCACCACCACCACCACCAG